GTAGTGAACGTGTACGATTCTGCACCCGTTTGGTGTTAAACGGAGATTGTTTTTTCTACAATATTTACAAAGCGTTGTTTAACACCCTTTGCAGTACCTCATGATATATCTGACTGCCACCCGCATGCCATGCTTAATTATCGACAAAAATACGATAGGCTTGACTCGAGGACATGCGGGGGTTCGGTAATAAGAACGAGTAAGTGCGGTCCAAACGATTACCCTTGTGGAAAACCGCAGATCACTTCATTTGGATCAAAAGTGTGCCCTCAGTTCGAACATGAAGGCGCCTTTGGAATGGGGAAGTTCCGTTTCATCCATGAACTGGGATTCTTATTCCGTACGCTTCCACCTATTGGAGTAGAATGCGGTAGCTTAAGCAGTCGAAGGCTTTAGAAAGCTTACGTAAATGACATCAATGCCGACCTTACAGTCGGCACTGGGTTCAACCGCCACTGGAAATCTTAATACTTTTATTACATGATCAATGCTGCCGGATCCGTGTTGTTCCAGTGCCTCGATATTAAACGTTTTAAGGTTGTCCATTAGAACACCAGGTTTGCTCAACCCAATAACCTTTGACAGCTTCGGGAGTTGAGTCAGTGGGCGATATTTGGTTGTCATCAAACAGCTATAGCTTTGCATAATCGGTGTTGTCGCCCCGCTTTCATGTGTGAGAGGATCACACTCTAACCAGACGGAGGTGGAATGTGTTGTCCCAGAGGGCTCAGTGCTGGGACCGCCCTGCTTCCTGGGGTTTATTAACAACCTGGCAAGGGCGTACTCCTTCATCTTCCTGCTTTTCGCCGATGATGTCTATATGGCAGGAGGTTAGTAACCCTGAAGAGAACGATTTGCTCCCACCATACCTAGTGTGCATTAATGGATGCTCAACGAGAAAGCTACTTTAGTTGAACATTGCTGAGGGAAAGGTGATCCATCGGCGTCACCAGCCGTTGGGCGCTTACAAGTTTGGAGCCTACGTTGTGCAGAAGGCTGCTCAGGAGCGTCACCTAGGCGTACTCGTACAGGAAGAGCACGGGTGTTCGAAAAAGCAGAGAACGCATCGAGAAACGGTAATCAATATTTCAGCCTGCTTCGCAGAGCGTTCGGTCCGTTTGAACACACAATCTTTCTCCGAATGCGTAACGCCTACATGCGACCGCACGTGGAATGTACTATTCAGGCGTCGCAGCCGGGGCAGAACCAGGATGTTGCTGATGTACATGCTCCTAAAGGAAAGGCGCCCATGAGTGTCAAAGACCAGTTACCGCTGCCATGTTGGAGCAGACTGAAAGCTCTAGGCATGTACAGCAGTCGACATCTGCTATGACGAGTAGATCTCACTAGGGTTTGCCAAATTCTGAAGAACCCAGACCACATTTTCGACCGCTGTTTGATTTAAACCACAAAACTAACCTAGGTGGTCATTCTCTAATAGCTACAATACAGTATAGCCGGCTTCAATGCCGTAGAAATTGCTTTGCCCTGCGCGTGTACCAGCCCTGGAATGCCCTGCCTAACTAGGTAGACTATTCTCCTAATCTGGCGATATTTCCAATAGAAGTAATCGGTACGTTGATTTATCTGCATTTTAGTTTATAAGTTAATAGACCGTGGGCAATAAAACGCAAGCAAATGGTGACATACCAACTTAGCAATTCGTGGATTTATACTATTAATACGTAATTGTTTCAGCTAGTCTACATAAGTCTGTGGTGATTCCAACAAAGCGCTTTCTATTTTCCCATGCAGTTATATTTTTGCAATAGGTTCCATCCAACGGGACTTGTTAGGCTTACGCTTTTAGCCATATACGCCATTGTTCCACTGCTGTGCGCCCGTACAACTCTGGAAAAATCACCTTTGGGACGCATCTATTCATGTAGCTGCCCTTGCAATGTTTTCGTGAAACGATGTCAAGCCTAGTGACAATATGACTGCACAAGGATACCCGCATACTCAAAATAGATGCTGTACTAATGTTGACATGGAAATTTCTGACGTCGGAAAGAATAATTGATGCATGCTACATATGCTGGCAGCGCGTCGGAATATTAGGGCATATTATAGCCGTGGAACTTTGGTTGCATACTCAGTGACTTTGGCACATTCATCTGCAGATATCTGCGGAAAGACGGCACGCACCACATTAGGCTGGCCTCTTACATGTCTGTACAAGTTATTTTTGGTAGCGCGGAATCTTCTCGCTAAGCCCGGCTTTGGTATTTATTTATCCTCATCGACAAGTCTGGTACGGTTATTACAATGCCCTACATATGTGTGGTATTATTAGAAATAAAGTAATCGGAATAGGTTGGAATAGTCTGGATTGAAATAGGCTTGGCTCAGACAAAAGGCTAGCATCGACGCGGAAGTAATGACATACAGCAAGGGCGAGGGGAAATCGTATTAACTAATTCGAAATTGCTAGAACAAACTAGATACATCAAAACGGGCAAAATAATATTGTTCAGAACGAACACTAATCGCCGAAGCATAAAGGTAGGTTTGGGCTGCTGTAGAAACAGCCTTCCTTGTTCTTCAGCCATTTGGATGTTAATGGTTGCTGCGGCAGACACTTTTGCACCGAGTTGCAAGCATCGTGATTTTCTGGTGTGGGCTCAGACCAAGAACTGTTAGGTGCACTCAACACACCAGGTCAGTATTCTGCGTTAATGAAAACCCATCAAAGTGTCTACTGTGTACAGAACCATCAGTTAGATAAAATATGCTACACATGCAGATACCGAGGCGCCTGAAGCTTATCCCACTAGAAGTTCGGAGATCATTTCCATGGCAGTAAACAGTTTCAGCCGACTCCAAACACAATCTAATCGTCCTGAGCACACGCCTCTTGCGCAGCTTAGCAGAGCTGTCCCAAACAGTTGTAGGTGCTGCATTCCTGTACTGCATTAAATAGCTTTTAACCCCTTTGTCAGGTTCAGCAAACCCTGTCGGACTGAGCGGTGCTTGGACTTTTATTATTCGCGGTAGCTTATCAGCAGCACAATTGGACGGTGGATGCCTTGAGGCAGCGTAAGCCACCCGTCAAACATTTTAGCACCAAATAAACGAAATAAATAACGTAACGTTTTTTCGACAAAGCTTGGCACCCTTATTGCGTGTGCTCAGGATTATGCATTGTTGTACCCGAGGGTATACTTGGCATGTCCAAGAGCAGGACTAAAACAAATGTAGTCAATTATATGGGCCCATATGGCTCAAAGAATGAAGAAAGTTTATCCCCGAGCTTATAGAGGCACGCCTCTGCAGGCAAAATCAGAATTGCGTAGACGAAATGATTCGCAGTGCATGTGATGTTAAGATAAGAAGTACAGAACTCATTGGAGTGTAAAAGAGGTTGGTGAGGAATTAATCCCATGGGGTTGGGTACGCAATGCTGGTCAGGTGAGTGAAACATGAATAAAATTTTGTAAAAGTTTAAAGAATTATGGCCTGTCAATGATTAAACACCTTTGGGCAGTTGTATGAGAAGTGATATATTCACAGAGCATGTGGAAGGAGGTATAGCTCGAATTGTAAATGCATCTTACGGGCAGTGACTATTAAGTGGCGGGTCACATCCGCCATTATGCAGTGTTGTTCATCATAACTGCGTTCCATTAAGTTCCATTTCCGTGGTCAACAAGATAGCCTTCGTTACTGCCCCCACTTTGCGGCTGGCGGTTTAAAATTCAGCGGATTCTCGTAACTGGCTTCATGTTCCTGTTGGTGTTGTAAAACAGTGGGGGTTCTTCCTCACCGGTGTTTTTATATCTTGGCACTGTTTATGAACGGATCTAACCGACTGAATATTAGGCTGAAACAGAAGTAGTAGTTTTTGTTGTAGGTTCGGCTAGTTAACACCAGTAACCAAAAAGGTCAAGAAGTTAGACCTGCAACTGGTCAACATTCCTGCAGTGGGAAGTCCGCTAGTTGAGAGTTATTTACTCCGTGGATCACGCGCCGCTCCTTCGTAGCCTTAAAGACAGATATGCTTGCAAAGTTAATCTCGTCATTCTTCGGCCCCACTTTTGAATATTGTATTTAGGATCGTCCACCTTGTTTTGTGCAAAAAACGTAGAAATGCAGTTAGGCGTAAGGGTAGGAACAAGGCTGGGACAGTGCATACGGAGATGCAGGTATCAAGAACACTTATTTAGTTTGGGTATGTACTTAGGGTAATACTAAAGGAGCAAAGGGAGTTGGTCCGAGCCAGCGGTAGTTTAATAGGAAAGATCAATTCAAACTTTTCTTGGTTATACAACCCCGCTAAGTTATCTAGTCTCCTCGGTCAACAATGGTAGCTGCACTGTCCCTGCTCAGATTTGCTTATGTGGAAGACGGGACTAGCATTTTGCGTTATAGTGCCCATATATAACATGGTTAGGCAGACTACGGTTAAGGGCTTTGGGAATCTATCCGATACTCCTGGGTGGCAACATTAAATGTTTATTTTCCGCCAACTTCTAGCTCACGCTGTAAAAGTTCTGGCCTCATTCTTCATTTGCCTAGTATTGTAATAACGTAGCAACGCACCGCTTCCTGCGTACTGACGTTGCTGTTTATGCTTCCTTACTGCACATAACAGGCCCAACGGGGTTTGACAGTGCCGGATACGATGGAAAAATTGCAGGTATTGTATGATACGGAATCCGATATGGATCCATCCACATGTAAACGTCCTTCGTCAACTTCTGATTCAACAGCACGGTAAGGAAGGAATACTCACGTGGTAGCGCTATCCTTCCGGTCCCACTTGAAATTGAGCACGCTCCATCTGGTGTCAATAAATAAAGCGCACTAACAAAAGAGATAAAATTAGCATAAATTTTAAACCGTCTCATATTGACAATACTTATTGTGTTTTATTGATCCCGTGGTATCAAAACGACTATTTTGTTATTGTTTTACTCATGCAATGTTTACATTTATTTTAATAAACTAATATTTAATCACCGCACAAGACTGCGTTTTCAAACCGCAGAAAATACGGGATGGTGTCTCTCGTGGCCAGTGCGCACCAAGATTCTGGATTCAACGTCAGTCAGTATGACAATGTTAGTTCATGGTTTATAGTATAGTATAATGTAATGCTGCTTTCAAACTTATTATCTTGGCTACAATATGGGGTTCGTTGCTACATTATCTATGTTTCTACATCGTAGACATGGAAACATAGGATATCATGCCATGAATATACCCAATAGATACCTAAATTGCGATATAGAAAACATAACGAAAGTGGTTTTTTCTGTTTTTACATGTTTTGTCTTTTGTCATTTTAGTGATTGGTTTTGATCAATAGAATTGTTCCATAGACTGACGCTAGACGTTCGTATAAATTTGTATTTATTTAGTAGGACGACGCATTTGCGGTTTGTATGTTGCTTTTAGCACTGCGACACCTTGATTGACCTATTGTGTTCCTTGCCGTACCACTGGGACATATTCAGTATTGCTAGCTCTCAACTTTTGCAAATTTTCTAAGGAAACAGGAACACGGAAAATTTCGCGGATATGCCATTTTGGCGCCGTCGTTGCTCCAGAATCGAGTTTGACGGATCGATTCTAGTCTGTCAACACGAAACGCGCGTATCACAGCATGGTCAACCCATCTATACCCAGTGTCCTGCGCTAGTAGTCTCTACTCTACCGGTCATGTCAACCAAAACAAACAGCTAATGCAGCACAAAAAAACAAAGCGAACCAAAATCTCGCTGAAGAAGTATGGGACTGAAGAAAAATATTAGATAGCGGATATTAGGCTACAGAAATCAAGGATAGTTTCGACTAAACGCTCTTACAGAGGTTAAGTATTAAAGTGTAAGGTTTGTAGCTGCAAACCAAGTGCATCTGGTCTGTTTTTGCGGTGGGATGACGTAAAGAAAAACTTTTTATTATCAACAGATATATTGTTAAATATTCTAACAGCATTATTATGCGCGTTAGCTAGAGGTGGGAAACACCTCAGCTACTGTGCCGCAATACATAGAAAAAAGGGAGAAAAATATGCAATAGGTGCAAGTCAGCCGAGCTGCCGGTAACGGATGAGCATCGTTCCGGTAAGCTACCAACCGGCTACTATGTAGCAAAAAAATCACTATGCAAAATTATGAGACTAAACAGTGAGACGGTGCTTGGAGGGGGAGGCTAAGAGGGATGGGTTGGGACAAGGAAACTCAACACAAACCCCACTGAGGTCGGCTCCTAGTCATATCAACAAGTTTATCCATTCGAACATGTTCCTCGTCTTTCGGACCCTAACCGGGGATCCGAGACGCTCCAACCGAGACCAGCTTCGAATTGAGGGCCTTCATTCCTCTCGACCAAGTCATCGCTTGGCCACCCCTCTTCTTCATCCATCCACACCCCCGGCGCACAAACAACGCAGTCGCAGGAGCCGGCGAACTGGCTTGCGTAATACGTGACCGAGCCATCGAAGTCTGGTGCGTGACATAACGGTGCTGAACGGTTCAGTTTCTTTTCATGTGCCGTAAACAAGACGTCAAACACGCTTTCTGTGTATTCAGTGTTCCCACCAGATCTGAGCTAAATATTATAACGCCTCATAAGAATTGTTGTTATTCAGTAATATTTCACTGGCTTTAAAACATCGTGCTTTCGTTTTGTCTGAGTGATCGCCTTGCCGGCACAGATGGACGGCTTGCCCAACTGTAGTCATGAGTGTCCGATGAGAGTCCACTTGGCATTTGCGTCCGATATTTCAGACGCAAATCGGACAACGGAAAACGCTTCACGGCAAACTGAAACGTAGACGAGCCAGTGAACACGCAAGAAACCATGCATGCCATGTTGCATACGTGCGAACACTAACTCGTGTAACTAGACACCTAGTTAGTGGTGCAGAAACAGTTATAAAGAGAATGCAAGTGAGGCTATATTGACATGAACTATGCATTACAACCGTTAGGCTGGACGGCAATCTCTACTTAGCTGTTCAAAGTAGTTATCGATATGTACTTATTGTTATTTGAGCCCTTTTATTTCATGCTTTGGTATATTATACATAGGCTGTCAGATTTGAGTCCAGCCCTATACTCCTGAGTGTCTCATGGTGCCAACTAGACCTCCTTCAGAGAGTAGATAAAAGTGAAAATAATTAACGATAGGTGCCCAGCTCTGTGTCAAATTTTATTACACATAATTATTACTGTTAGCATTTAACTATGTATCTCTACTTTTTACTAAAATTCTGCTTTTATTCAGCGCGAGTGACCGGTAAACTTCTACTGAGTGGCTTTTATGCACTTGTCAGCCTTAGTGAGAATTTCAGGGTGAATTTAAACTTGACTGTCTTATTATTTCATAGCTACTATTTTAAAATAGATTTTTGTTTATGAATGAAAACATTTTCGAAGAGAAACTGCAATCGATATCTATTTTAGGGCTGGGTTAGGAAAAGGCATCACAGTGATAAAAGTTCGTCTAAATATGTCTCACAGGAGCGGCCATTGGCATAAAAATGGTCACTCAAGGCGCTTCAGCTGTTATCCCAACGGACACAATCCGGTCACGTGTGTTATGCGGGCGGTAGGTTGCCACTAAGTGACTGTTTTGTTCTCCTGGCCGTTCCAGTGTAACACATATATCGCGTGTGTCCGTCACGCTAAAAACGGGTTAGCTTACGGCTTTATTACTACGTTATTACGCATTCACTGCTCCTTCACCGTATATCAACTACTCGCCAGCCTTGACGGCACCAAACATGCCGGACTTGATGGGCTTCACTCACTGATTCGCAAGTCACTTTTGACCATAATCTTTCCCGTCGTGACTGCCCTATTCAACCGATCGTTATCCGAAGGTTTGCTACCGATGGACTGGAGATTTTCGAAAGGCGGTGACCCTAGCAAAGTAGACAACTACACGCCGATTTGTCTGACACCTATTTTAGCAAAGGCTGCTGAAAAAACGTAAAAAAGGGATTATTGCAATTGCTACGATCCAACGAGATTCTGACGCTCGCACAGCGTGGTTTTATGCAAGGCCGCTCATGTATTGCAAACTTCCTTGTAACGAGGCGTGGGAGGCTATAGGCAAGGGGAAGTCTGTCAAAGTGATATTAGTCGATTTCAGTACAGCGTTCCTCAAGGTCAGCCATGAGGTGCTTCAGAAACTCAGAATTTGCAGCTCAACGACCATCTGCCTGCCTGGTATCCCTCTACAAGTGCCATATGTCAAGGCACTGGGCTGGGGCCCACTCTGTTGCTGACCCACCTCAACAGACTACCTCAGCTTCTAGGCCGCCGTGTGCCTTTTTTGCAGAAGACATGAAAATTTGGAGAGTAATTGACACTCCCGACGACTGTGGCTTACTACAGCTAGATCTCAACCGCCTATCCGCATGGACTGCAGATGTTCATTTCCGGGCAACGCAGCCAAGTTTGTATTCATGAGCCTGGAGAAGGGTGCTGACGGCCGAACCTACACCCTTGACGGCCGAACGTTATATCCCACACCCTCCGTGAAGGATCTAGGTGTACTCTCGCGCTACGATTTGATGTCCATGGCCAACACGAACAGGCTATATCGTAACGGACTGCTCATGCTTTGGGCGCTCAAACGTAGCTTCGGCACATGGTCTTTCATCATTAGACCAGTATTAGAGTACCTTTCTCCCACCTAATTTCCGATTACCCGAGGCGAGGAACAAAAGATCGAACGGGTCTAACACGTTGCTACCAGACTCCTCCCGAGTTTATGTGGCTTGGGGTATGAAGACCGGTGCAAAAAACCAGGACTATACACTTTGTCCTACCGTCGGGTGCGAGCTGACCTTATTATGACCTACGGGTTTTTACATCTCGGTGGCTCCCATTGGTAAGCCAGTGCTGCCCTTGCGAGGGCTATGCAACACACGCGGACACATACAAACTTTTCGGGCCGGCTGTGAAGCGAGTTCCCCACCCACTGTGCTTCGAACGGAGAGTGGTGATTATCTGGAACAAGTTGCCTGAACATTTTATCGAGGCAACATCTGTGCATCACTTCAAAACGTGGTTAGGTTTACATTTTGCCACTGTTCCATTCAGAGAACGATTGCACACTTACGATGACATGTCACATTTGTGAGTCCTGCAATACCGTGAGTCGGATATTTTAAATGTTACATGAGAACGATATTCACAGCTGCCAATTTTTATAACTTTTCACCATACTTCGAAAGAGCTGTGCAGAATTCGTTTATACTTGCTCTGTAGTACATTATACAGTATTCAGTATATGTTGAGGTCGCTTATGAAAACATGTTTCTTAATGACCAATATTCGTTTAAATGGCACGAAAGCGGTCACTCAATGTGCTCCAACGGTCAGTCCAGCGGAGGTTGTTTAGTAAACTGTGTTATGCGGTTTAAGGTATGACGTGAATGTATATTCCATGACGAAAAATAACATCCGAGCTTGGTAATAGTCGACTTCAAATTCTTTATAACGCGGTACTGAAGACGTCAGTGTTTACGGAAAATAATTTGCGTAACCGAAATTCGTTCCAGAGGTGCCGCGCTGGGACGGCCAGTAGGCCAAAAGCTGTCACCCAAAGGGCACCGTTTTATTGGAAAAACCATTTATGAGACAAGACAGGTGATGTCAATGATTATGTATAACATTTCATGTCATTTAACCAATTCCTACCATTATTTGTTTTCGTATTTCTGCGCGTGACTGAAAGCGCGCTTAATTGGAGCAGCTGGTGCTCCACATTTAGCAATAAGAGTGTTTCTTCTGTTTTGGGATGCACCGTGGTGCACAGACAGTCCGTGCTTTGTATCGTATACTTCAGCTCTTCTTTATAAACACACGAAATCAAACAAAGCCATTCAACCGATTTCATGCACTGCTTACTTCATAGCGACATTGGTCACTAAAACGGTCCTTCTTTAGAGTCTGAAGGCCATGGCGCCTTGTACATGTAATAGCCTTGGGACTAGTGAAGATGAGCTAGCTAGATTTCTTGTTGCTGAATATGCTGTCAAAATATTTGGAGTGCCCACTTCAATATTTTTAAGTGAAATCAAGTTATCTGACTCCAGTGAATATCAGTAACCAATAGCAATCCTGTTTCCTGGTGGTTAGTTACTAGTACACTATATTTGCGTTAGTCTACTGAATTTACGGCTAAATGCATTTGATTGAAGACGCTATAACTTGTCAGGTTAAGAGCACTTGGATTCCAGCCAGACCAAAATTTTCGCAATCTCAGGTATCGTTCATTTTATCATTAAGTTGTCACCTTGAATATATCACAGCCCATAATTACCGTGCCAAACTGACTGCGTTTGGGCCATTTAAAATCGGTTTTCAATTCATTTGACCTTATTGTTTAAGTTAGTTTGTTCAAGATATATCAGTTAATTTGTAAACCATGTGTATTAAATACAGTAAGAGTGTAGTACAAACTAGCAGTGCAATTATGGTTACTTAGGCGTAAGTATCTGATTTTGCCGAGCCAAATCCTTGCATAGCGGCTCTATGCTCAACAGTATGCTACGGTATACGGGAGGTACAGTTAACCTAATAAGAAGCGATACAAACTTAGTTGCAAAGACTGCGCACACGTTTACATCGGCCAAACCGCGATAGAGCTACGCACGACGATGGCAGAACACAAGAGACGTATAACACGGCCACCGAGAAACGAGGTTGAATATATGGCTCTACTAAGGTGTTCTGCAATAGCGATGCACGCGATAGCTACAGGTCATGAGATTGACTTGGATAACGTCGGAATTCTTAGAATGGGATTGTGATCCACTCCCCAGAGGCCAACTACTGAGGCGGTTTAGATTAGCAAGGTGAACAGCTCCATGAACAGGATAGACGGGGAAGAGCTTTTGTGCATGTGGCTGGCAGTTTTAACCCGACCGGTCTGAAGAGCAGCCAGCAGAAGGATCCAGGGCAGAGAATGTACACCACATCATCCCCTCACCCATCGTTAACAGGGCTTACGTGTGTGACTTTGTAACGCGAACCACTTGTGACCTTTCCATGCACTATTTAAAGTGATGTGTTGACCTGTAAAGCGATTGACCTCCTGCTTACATCCGATTCGTCGTGATTATCATCACAGTTCGCTATAAGTTCTATATCAATCTGCGACTGGTTCACTCGGCTTGATGAACCTGTTGTGTCAAAGACGAAACATTGTTCACAAATTATACCTTTCCGAAATCATGGGTTCTCGATCAGTTCCACGTATTTTCCAAGACGTCAATACCAGTATACTTGTATTTCGCGGATAGTCAAACTTGTCTCTATTGAATTTGGTTAAAATTGCTTTTGACTGCATGTTTATTTTTTCCACTATCCCTATCCAGCATTCCTTTTGGAGCAGCTCATTGCATTCGGCTTTGTCTAAGTTTGAATGCTTTCTGGTTTGGCTTAAATGTCTTCAAGCGGTTACCGCTATATTCATTGGCCGCACTAGTATGTTTTTGTTCTAGCTATTTGAAGTTGATAAAACTTAGTTTTGGACTCCTTATTAAACTTTCAATTAAACTAGGCTCAAAGTGAATACAATTTTAATTATTTCCCAAGTGTCCCAGTGCTACCGTCTGCGGCTAGACAGTGGTGCATCGAGAGTAGCACTACAACAGCAAAATAACTCAATATGCCTAGCATGCACCCATATTATTTAGCATCAACATGGAGTTGGGTGGGGGAAATTGTCACGTTCTTACTCTCATTGATTTTTGGATAATATGTTTGCGTAACGATAATTAGTATACATAAAAACGCGTTTTGATGTGTACGCACTTTGCCAGGCTCACAAGCGCGCTATATCAAGTTCTTTTTCTACTGATTCAACTATGTGTAGCCATTACTGCTAAGTTTGGTAGGCAATACTTTACTTAAACTTTAATCGGCGCCTTCAAGTATTGTCTTTTCTATTATGTTCCGCAACTCCGATAATTTAGACATATCTTGATAGTAATAAATACGACGCGTAACACAGGTTTTACTTTCGAATAGATTAATTTGACAGCAAAATACTAACCACCTGTCCCATATGACAAACATGTAGCATGTGGGTTTGTTTAATTGATATCTAGTAAGTCAGCTCACTGAAGGGACATGATGCTGTTATGACATACGTGATAACAGAGACAGCATAAATTTGCAATCACATTATCTTTCTATGTATGCCACAATATGCAGGGATTATTGCAGTTTCACAAACTTCAACAGTATGCCACACGGCACGTCACTACAATGCGTTTATTTATTTTGGTGCGGTGCAATTCGTCTGTTTAATTTTAACTTATCCCTTACAACGAGCCATAACTGTGTAGCTGGTAGGCCACATCGCGCGTCTCATTTATCATGGTTATTTTTATATTTTATATCACTCCGCAACCTCTTTACTGTTGAAGTATTTGTTGTAAAGTAGAGTTGTTTATGTTGCGGCTATGTATATTTCTAATATGTTCAAACTGACTGGCGTGTAATTGCATACTTGACCGTTACAAGCTTGGCGTCCAAATTTGTTCAGGCGAGGTTTGCTTGGAAAGATTACATACAGTACATTACATTAATTCGGTTTCTACCATGTTTGTTTGTTTTTTATAAGGTGATTCGTAGTTAATACCTGTTGTGTTTTATTTCTCTTTTTTGATAAAGATTTGGGAATCTCAAACAATGATTTTAATACGGTCTTAATGAAGTTTTTGAAAGTGACAACCATTCACTATAAAAGACAGTAGCATCTTTGTTAAGTTTAACTCTACATAACAATTGTACACTTCGTGAACCTGTCGTTGCTGTTTGAAAACAGTAAGAACAAAGTTATTCTCGTGCAGTCATATGGCGCTCGTTAAGCTATGTAGCAACTATTTTAGTGTATTTGTCATCTGCCAAGTTTTATATTTTTAACATTTTTTCAGGATGTGCGTTACAGTGGACGCAGGTCATATCGTTCTGCTACAGTTATTCAGTTTCAAAGGTTAGAAGATCCTCGTATTGCCCTGCGTAACTCGCAGCTAAACAAGGTTGTTGTCCCACCTGACTATGGAAATACCTCCAACACTCCTGTCCCTTCAACTCGCGGTGGTGAATTGGCTCAGACGACCCTCTCCTACGAGCAAATCAAAAGTCAACTATTGTCTCAGGGACTTTTGTTTGAAGATCCCGAATTTCCAGCCACGAACGACAGTTTATACTATAGCGGACCACCAAGTATGCACATCACTTGGCTTCGACCACACGTGAGTTTAAATAAACCAAATAAATGGGCACTTATTTTGCTGCTATCGCTTGTTCTTTTTACACATGATAACTTTATTGCACTGCATATACTTATTTTTTCACAGTCAAATGCGAACTATCAGGTAATCTTATTACATCTTAGGGATGAAGAATTTGTTAACTGCAGACCAACTGGGTTTTTGCGCAAAACATGCACTTGGGATCGTACATAATTGAACCCATACGTAGTAAGAGCTCCTTGCTATTTTCTAACATAGAACTTAAAAGTTTCGAAACAGTTGGCTTACAGTATGTTTGAGGAGGATTAAATAGTTCATATATCATCGCTGTCTTACAGTCCAGCATATTAAACCAGCGCATAAAGACAGACTATTGCGCGTACAGCTAGTCGAGATAAATAAGTATGATCACTATCCAAACACACGGATTCAGATACCGTAGCTTATGTTACTATGGTAACCACACTTACATTTACTTGAAAACCAGGCGAAACCTAAAGTAAACCTGAACGAAAAGGAAGGAGAGAGAAGAGGGTAAGCAAGACTAACTATAGCGGAGATGTAAAAACTAGGTGCAACGTGCCGAAGTTAAGAACAACATTGGTTTTGCGCTTCACCAGCTTGAATGGGGCATACACCTGCTAGTGCAGCTGATCCCGTGGTCACATCCTTGAGGACAATATGTATGTGCTTCTCAACTACGTACAACGTTGACCACCCCGTTTCACCTCCCAGATATGCGAAAAAACTTGTTGATGTGTGCGCCGGCGCAATGTATAAACTGGTATCTGAAAAACAGTATTCAACGAACTTAGTTGATCCAATCTGAACGAGCACTTTATTGTATCACCATGGCATTCTTGTACGGACACATGATGGTGAATGTCACTGTTGCTTGCTCTGCACCTATCCACCCAACCACCCATCAGCAATAAGACGCGGGCATCGATGTCCAAAATGATTAGTTTTTGGATATCTTCATGGTAAACTTGTGTATGCATTCTCGATGCGGTAACGCCGACTATGCAAGAGATCTTTACAACCTTATCTTGACTGTCAAGTTGATACCTTACTTTCATAGAAGCTATTTAGGATTTGCAAAGCCATATGCTATTGTTGAGGCGTCTTGGCCAAGATATTGGTATAACAGCTTAAAAGCATTGACCGACAAATTACTTTGAATGAATATTTTGGACTAGCTAGAACTGGCAGCGTCTCTGCTTATCAATGTTAAGACGCTCTTCATTTCGAGTATGCTAAAAATCGGTTGAAGCTTGCATCACTTCTATGCAACAGATCAATTACTGGTAGTACGTAGCTCTAGCTAATTTAACTATGGGTTATTCTATCAGATTTTTCAAATATGTCGGTCAAAGCTAGTTAGAACACTCAGTACAAAATAGGCTGAGGGTACCTTATCATCATTGTTCACCTCGCCCATCAAAATGCGGTACGGATAGGAGGTGAAGAGAAAACTATAAACTTTACTTGTCCCTATGGTTTTGCAACACGACTTTTATAATGCTATATCCCATCAATAGATGTATGGTAATAGATATCGGCACGAAACGTTTCTTTGATAAACTCTTCATTAATACCACTCGCGGCAGCGAAGCGCCGTTACGGCGTACAGCTGACACTTTATTTATTAATTATTATTATACCCTCTATATGTAACTATGAGAAGCACATGAGCGGTGAACAGGTTAACATTCACAATTTAGACACTCGCGGGGACGATTCACCCCCTAAGGTTTGCTGCCTGTAAGTAGTTTACAGTCAACAACAGGGACGCAAGCGTTTCAACAAATTTACATCAAAATCTCTGCAGTCGTTTGTAAGTTGTGAGAGACTATGGTACTTGCTAGCCTGTGAATACCTTTTCATTGTTCACTGTGGTATTGAAAAAGGCAGCTGGACCTTCCTATATTAGGTCTTCATCTTTCATTAACAATGGAGCATTGAAGCATTATGACATAGTTGTGTGACTCGCTTCATTAGAAGGGTGTTACTTTGAATAAATAAAAAATGTGACGTTTCATGTTGCGATGCCATTCGCAATGTTTTGCAACTATCTGGTATGTCTCAGATTGGATCAGCAGTCCAGCTTCCTAATCCGACGTCTTGACACCTGACGTTTATTGAAAACCAGCATGCAAGAATCGAGCCCTGTTGTCACCCTGCGAACTATACGTATGATGCTGCCAGCACCTCACTTTGCACTCGTCTGAAGATGACGCACCTTTAAATACCAGTCATGCCGGTGTTAGCGTTGCTCTAATTCCTCTGCCTGAAGCTACGTTGATCTGTTGGATCCCAATCTACAACCGAGTGTGCGCCGTCAGAATATATATATATATA